CTTGATGGGTTGTTTGCTTTTTTTCTTGTAAATTTGTTTAAGTTCTTTGTAGATTCCACATTATTAGCCCTTTGTCAGATGGGTAGCTTACAAAAATTTTCTCCCATTTTGTTGGCTGCCAGTTCTAATGACTGCTTCTTTTGCTGTGCAGAAGCTCTTAAGTTTAATTAGATCTCATTTGTCTATTTTGGCTTTTGTTGCCAATGCTTTTGGTGTTTTAGTCATTAAGTCCTTGCCTATGCCTATGTAGTGAATGGTATTGCCTAGGTTTTCTTCTAGGGTTTTTATTATGTTAGGGCTTATATTTAAATCTTTAATCCATCTGGAGCTAATTTTTGTATAAGGCGTAAGGAAGTTTCAGCATTCTTCACATGGCTAGCCAGTTTTCCCAACATCATTTATTAAACCCAGAATCCTTTCCCCATCGCTTGTTTTTGTCAGGTTTGTCAAAGATCAGATGGTTGTAGATGTGTGGCATTACTTCTGAGGCCTCTGTTCTGTTCCATTGGTCTATATCTCTGTTTTGGTACCAGTACCATGCTGTTTTGATTACTGTATCCTTGCAGTATAGTTTGAAGTCAGGTAGCATGATGCCTCCATCTTAGTTCTTTTTGCTTAGGACTGTCTTGGCTATGCTGGCTCTTTTGGTTCCATATGAAGTTTAAGGTGGTTTTTTTCCAGTTCTGTGAAGAAAGTCAAGGGCGGCCTGATGGGGATAGCATTGAATCTATAAATTACTTTGGGCAGTATGGCCATTTTCATGATATTGATTTTTCCTAACCATAAGCATGGAATGTTTTTCCATCTGTTTGTGTCCTCTCTTATTTCCTTGAGCAGTGGTTTGTAGTTCTCCTTGAAGAGGGCCTTCACGTCCATTGTTAGTTGTATTCCTAGATATTTAATTCTCTTTGTAGCAATTGTGAATGGGAGTTTACTCATGATTTGGCTCTCTGTTTGTCTGATATTGGTGTATAGGAATATTTGTGATTTTTGCACATTGGTTTTGTATCCTGAGGCTTTGCTGAAGTTGCTTATCATCTTAAAGATATTTTGTGCAGAGATGATGGGGTCTTCTAAATATAAAATTATAAAGCAAGTTCTTAATGAACTACAAAGAGACTTAGACTACCACAAAATAATAGTGAGAGACTTTAACACTCCACTGTCAATATTAGATCAATGAGACAGAAAATTAAGAAGGATATCCAGGACTTGAACTCAGATCTGGACCAAGCAAACTTAATAGACATCTACAGAACTCTCCACCCCAAATCCACAGAATACACATTCTTCTCAGCACCACATCACACTTACTCTAAAATTAACCACATAATTGGAAGTAAATCACTCCTCAGCAAATGCAAAAGAATGGAAATCATAACAAACAGTCTCTCGGACCACAGTGCAATTAAATTAGAACTCAGGATTAAGAAACTCACTCAAAACCACACAACTACATGGAAACTGAACAACCTGCTCCTTAATGGCTACTGGATAAATAATGAAATGAAGGCAGAAATAAAGATGTTCTTTGAAATCAATGAGAATGAAGACACAAGGTACCAGAATCTCTGGGATGCATTTAAAGCAGTGTCTAGAGGGAAATTTATAGCACTAAATGCCCACATGAGAAGCGAGGAAAAAATCTAAAATCGACACCCTGTAGTCACAATTAAAAGAACTAGAGGAACAACATCAAATAAATTCAAAAGCTAGCAGAAGACAAGAAACAACTAAGATCAGAGCAGAACTGTCTCTGAAGGAGACAGAGACACAAAAAAAAACCCTTTAAAAAAGATCAACAAACCCAGGAGCTGGTTTTTTGAAAAGATCGACAAAATAGATAGACCACTAGCCAGACTAATAAAAAAGAAAAGGGAGAAGAATCGAACAGATGCAATATAAAATAATAAAGGGGATATTCACCACCGATTCCACAGAAATACAAACTATCATCAGAGATTACTACAAACACCTCTATGCACATAAACCAGTAAATCTAGAAGAAATGGATAAACTCCTGGACACTTACACCCTCCCAAGACTAAACCAGGAAGAAGGTGAATCCCTGAATAGACTAATAACAGGGTCTGAAGTTGAGGCAGCAATAAATAGCCTACCAATCAAAAAAAGTCCAGGACCAGGCGGGTTCACAGCCGAATTCTACCAGAGGTACAAAGAGGAACTGATACCATTCCTTCTGAAACCATTCCAAACAATACAAAAAGAGGGAATCCTCCCTAACTCATTTTATGAGACCAACATCATCCTGATACCAAAACCCAGCAGAGCCACAACTAAAAAAGAAAATTTCAGGCCAATATCCATGATGAACATTGATGCGAAAATCTTCAATAAAATACCAGCAAACTGAACACAACAGCACATCAAAAAGCTTATCCATCACGATCAAGTAGGCTTTATCCCTGGGATGCAAGGCTGGTTCAACATATGCAAATCTATAAATATAATCCATCACATAAACAGAACCAAAGACAAAAACCACATGATTATCTCAATAGATGCAGAGAAGGCCTTCAAAAAAATTCAACAGCCCTTTACGATAAAAACTCTCAAATTATGTATTCATAGGATGTATCTCAAAATAATAAAAGCTATTTATGACAAACTCACAGCCAATATCATACTGAATGGGCAAAAACTGGAATCAGTCCTTTTGAAAAGTGGCACTAGACAAGAATGCCCTATCTCCCCACTCCTATTCAACATCGTATTGGAAGTTTGAGCTAGAGCACTTAGGCAAGAAAAAGGAATAAGGGGTATTCAATTAGGAAAGGAGGAAGTCAAATTGTCACAAGTTTTTTTTTTATGAGAATGTTTTTGAATGTCTAGAATAGACATAAGTTATATTTGAGTATGTTTGAGCCTGAGGATTAATATATGGAGAGAGGGAAAGACTGATGGTTCCAAAGGAGACAACCAGTGGAAGAGGGTCCTAAAAATGCACAAGGGAATACAATAATTTATTAATTCAACAAAGTCAAAAAGATATAGTCGCTGTCCTCAAGTCCAAATTAGTTTAATGCCACAAACTGAAAAAGAGTGCATGAACCAGAAAGAGAGAACATGCAAGCAAATTGTATAATTTCTTCTTAAATTAAGATATAAGCCCAGTTATTTTAGTGCAACATGCCATTTCAAATATTCAGCAAAGGCACACATTTGCAAGAAAAAAAATTTACTTTTGGACTCAACGCTACTTCCATTTATATAAGACCACTTCCATCTCTTCAAATTCTATACATTTTTAGAATTTCTATATATTTTTTAAAACATCTTTGAGAATCTCTTAATTTTTAGTAACATATATTACAAGTAATCTAGAAACAACTACAAATATCACAGAAAAGCTAAAAGTCTAGGATAATCACATTACACATACCCTTTTAATCCACATATTACTTTTAATCCATAATAAAAGATACTTAGTAGTAATGACAAGGTAAAACTATGCACAACAAAAGATTGCAGAACTAAGAGATTCATATCATCTGTAAAAAAAGTTTTTTTTTTTAATCTCTGCAAGTCACCAAAATTCAACATCAAATTATATAAAGATTAGTTTAAATGGTCCTATGAATAAAGACACAAAACTTGAAATCAGGGATCTACAATGCTCATGATTTCAACTAAAACCATTTTTTTAAGATGTGAAAAAACAGCAACTTTGGCCCAGCACAGTGCTCACGCCTGTAATCCCAACACTTTGGGAGACCGAGGCAGGTGCATCATCTGAGGTCAGGAGTTCGAGACCAACCTGGCCAACACGGTGAAACCCCATCTCTACTAAAAATGTAAAAAAATTAGCCAGGTACTCTGGAGGGTGCCTGTAACCACAGCTACTGGGAAGGCTGAGGCAGGAGACCTGCTTGAACCCAGGAGGCTGAGGTTGCAGTGAGCCATGATTGCGCCACACTGTACTTAATCCTGGGTGACAGAGAGAGACTCTTGTCTCAAAAGCAAATAGCCAAGCAATTTTGTTCAAATGTACAGTTGTATGTTCTCGCTGTCCAACAATCTACTGGATCTACTATATTTCCAAAGTATACCTACTACATCTTTACTCCAAAAACCTCAGGTCTTAGAATTTTTTGTATTACCATGTAGGATGATATCCTGGGCACTATGGAAGATACACATAATTCCCCAAAACAATACTCTTTACTCTTTCTAAATCATTCAGTTCATTCTTTACTACCTATTTCCACTGAACACTTCCACAGTTCTCTAGCCCACAATGACTTCCCCTTCCTCTGAACTTCTCCAACCACTTAAGTGCTGGAGTCACTTGGAGATACTTAAGTATCTAGGTCAACATTTGATACATCATAAACTATTTTGACTTTTTTGAACATAATCACGTCTTTTCTCAGGGTTGGCGTAACGGTGGGAGTAGGGGTACTAAAGAAGTGGTGAGAGAATACCAATCAAAGAGATGAGATTACAAAGTTCTAGACAGAATTTTGAGACTATATTTCAAGTTCCTGGATCAAGCCCTATATGTAAATGAGGGCTAGACATTCAATCTAGGATCTTTAATGATAGGCATTGTTTTTGAGATTTGTGTTTTCCATAGTGCTCCAAATATTATCATATGCGGTAATAGAAAAAATTATAAATATTTGAATGATGTGATCAAAGAAATGAAGCCAAATGACCATACTTGACCGAAGCCAAATATCCAAATCTAGGAGATAAAACTGGTAACAAATAAATAATATAGAAAACAGTCTAACAGGAAATCTGGGAGGGTTTGTCAAAAAAGAAAATGATTAAAATTGAAAAAACATTCGGAAAATTGCACAAGGAGATTATTAAGATCTTTGCAAACTTCCATTAATAATCTTTGTGGTACTAGAATGCTTTATAATTCAATTAAATACTATAAGTCTAACTAAGTAAACAGCACCAATTTCAGGCTTTTTGTTCCAATATATTCTAATTCTACAAACCACCCACACACAAAACATCATACTTACTGAGATCTCTACATTTAATAGTACTATATTCAAAAGAGATACAAAGATAGTCACATGCTTCTCTCAGTTCAGGAATAGATATGCCATCAGGACAACGGATTATTCCTGTTTTATAGTAATCCTGGGGAAAAAAAGAAAAGAAAGCATAAAACATCTGGAGCACAAGGTAGCCAAAACTTATTAAGGTTGGACTGGTAACATTTTCAGAAATAGTAGAGAACTCTGACATCTCTGAATTGTGGAAGTTTAAACTTAGATGAGGCTTCAGTTCACCTACTTTTTCATTTTACCTATAAGGAAAATTCAGGTTCAAATGAAATCCACTGACTTAACCTGTCATACAATTACTTAAAAGCAAAGGTAAGATTAGAACATAGGGCTCCCCATTACCTAACTAATGTCTTCTCTTATGACATCATATCAATGCATATGTATTTTCCTTCTACAAGTTATAGTTCTATAAAACTGTCATAAATTTTTCAATTTTTTTTTAGAAAACGAAACTGAATGATACATTACCTTAAATATTACCAAGATAATTTAATAAAATTTGAGGTTTATTATAATTTAACACAGAATTATACTCATATTCAAGTATTAAAATACGTAAAATAAGATGTATCATTAGATATTCTTCTTCTAATATATCCTTTGGTGATTCCATACTATGAGAAGCAATACTAATTATTTCCAAAATCTACTTAACAGGTTAAAGGACGACCCCAGAATTACAGATACGTTACTGCACAGATGAGTGATAAAAATTACTTTCAATTCCATGAGAGGAAATATGGAAAGCTTAAAAAAGCACTTTTGCCCTAAAATTAAGACCTGGCTTGGCCAGGCACCATGGCTCATGCCTGTAATCTCAGAACTTTGGGAGGCCAAGGCAGACAGATCACCTGAGGTCAGGAGTTTAAGTCCAGCCTGGCCAACATGGTGAAACCCTGTCTCTATTAAAAATACAAAAATTAGCCAGACATGGTGGCACATGCCTGTAATCCCAGCTACTCAGGAGGCTGAGGCAGGAGCATCACTTGAGCTTGGGAGGCAGAGGTTGCAGTGAGCTGAGATCATACCACTGCACTCCAGCCTGAGGAAAAAAAAAAGAAAGAAAGGAAAAAAAAAAAAAAAACGGTCTCAAGCTTCCTGAGGTTCAGAACCTAAGTAACCAGTAACACAATTTCTAAGGTTGCTGCATCAATGGAAGTGAAATATCTTCTGGTACTTATATGAATACTCACCTGATCAAGATCAACTACTTTCCCTAACTGTCTTCGATCACAGAATCCTCCCTTCCCCCAAACTATTTAAGAAAATTGTATTTTCAGACTGTGGCACAAACTGTCAGAAGCTATAAATCAAATCTTTTTTTTTTTTTTTTTCAAGACAGAGTCTCACTCTGTCGCTGGAGTGCAATGGTGTGATCTCGGCTCACTACAACCTTCCCCTCCTGGCTCAAGAGATCTTCCCGCCTCAGTCTCCCAAATACCTGGAACTACAGGCATTCCACCCAGCTAATTTTTGGATATATTCTTTTGGTAGAACTGGGGTTTTGCCATATTGCCCAAGTTGGTCTCGAACTCCTGTACTCAAACCACCCACCTGCTTCAGTCTCCTAACATGCTGGGATTATAGGCATGAACCACCACACCTAGCCTTATGATCAAAATCACTGAATTTAAATTACAAGTAGAGACTCTGTAAGATAAATTATTTAAAAAACAAAAAAAAAAACTTAAAATCTCAAAAACAAAAAACAAACAAACAAAAAAACAGTTTTAAAACAAAGATGTCGGCTGGGCACTGGCTCACACCTGTAATTCCAGCACTTGGTGGGAGGCTGAGGCAGGAGGGCTGCTTGAGGTCAGCAGTTCGATACCAGGCTGGGAAACATGGTAAAACCTCATATCTACTAAAAATACAAAAAATTAGCTAGGTGTGGTGGCACATGCCTACACTCCCAGCTACTAGGGAGGCTAAGGTGGGAAGATCACTTAAACCCAGACAGTTGAGGCTGTAGGTAACAGTGATCGCACTATTGCACTCCAGCCTGGGCAACCGAGTGAGACGCTGTCTCAAGAAAAGACCCCCAAAACCAACAAAAAAATAAAGATGTTAACAAATACATTCTGAAGATGACTTTTAGATGTTTCTAAGTTTCCACATTGCTAGTTATATACAATAAAATAATAGAATCAGTCATATTCACTCTCAGATAGTAAAAATGATCGAAATACCGTATTTAAGAGAATTAAAGAGAAGTAAATATGACTTCAGATATGTTACTAAATACCTGAAAGAACTGTGTATGTAGACCTAAGAGTTTAATAGTCTCTCATCCTATCATCCTGAAGGTCATCAAATTTATTTGCTTATATCACATTATCTGTATGTGCTAAAATAAAGATGAGAGCACGGCATGTTGGCTCAATACTTGTAATCCCAGCACTCCGGAAGGCCAAGGCAGGAGGATGGCTTGAGCCCTTGAGTTCAAGATCAGCCTAGGAAACATTGTGAGATCTCATCTCCATAAAAAACAAAAACAAAAAAAATTAGCCGGGCATAGTGGCGCATGCCTGTAGTTCCAGCTACTCGGGAGTCTAAGGCAGGAGGATTGCTTGAGCCCGAGAGGTCGAGGCTGCAGTGAGTTATGATCGTGCCACTGCACTCCATCCAGCTTGGGTGAAAGAGCAAGACCCTGTTGCAAAATAAAAATTAAAAGAAAATAAAGATAAATTAAATGGTATTTTAGGAAAAACAATATCCTGGAATAACTCCAAAGACAAATTCAAATAGAATTCTGCTTCTAATCCAAGTACCTACCAAGAAGGGGTCTTACAATTAAGTTAATACTCATAAGAACCACTCACCAGAATAGCTCTAAACACAGTAGAACCAATTCCCTCTGCCACCTCATACTCTCCTTTCTCATTGGGTCGTGTAAAGTTATGTTCTCGGCCAGATCCAAACATCCTATGAGAGCAAATAATTGAGAAATACTTCAATAGAATACTTCCTTCAAAAGGGAAAATAGATTTCACATACAAAAGTAAAAAAGAATTACATCATTAAATTAGTTCAAGAACTTTTATCATTAATTTATTCTGGTAAACATCATAAATGAAGGAATATTAAAAACATTTTCTTTTTGATGGTAAGGAACACTAGTCTAGATTTCCTGCAAGCAACAATAAAATAAATGACAAAATTCAGAAGCTAAAGAGCTTTCCTACCCCTTCTCCTCAGAAAACACCACGAACCAATTAATCTAAGGCAAAAGGTGAGTTTTCAATACCAATTTTACCAGGAAGAAAAAAAAAGGGAAACTATGTTAATGGTACTTTTTCCTTAAAACTGCTATTTTCATTGTACAGTTAATGCCATAATACAGCACACAGAGCAAACTAAACTGAGACAAAGTAAGATGATACAGGACAAGTCAGGTTGTTTTACATTTAACAATCTTAATTATAAATGTAACAAATCCTACTCAAAATTCTTAGACTTGCATCCTATAACTGAAAAACAAGCAATCAAATGGTGGGGTAGACAGCAATGAAAAAATAGGATAATGGCCAAGTTTAAAAAAATAAATTAAAAAGCTCTTAATTTTTATATAAGAAAAATACAAATGACTTTAATTTTTTTTCAAGTCATGTTGTTGGCCCTTTAACAGCAGCTGTTTAGAAAAGAGGCAATTTGCAAAATATGTCCTTAACAATAAAAAATGTACTCTAGTACTCTCCAGAAAATTTAAGAATCATGATTAAAGAAAGATGAACCTCTAGATCCTATGGTACTACTATTCTCAAAGTAAATATAGTTGAACTAGGTATTCTATTCAATAGTTTCCTAATTCAAACAGATTCCTTTTGTTGTAACGCAGGAAACTATGAACAACAAAGCTTTTTTATGTCAAAGTTTCCAAAAGAATGCCAACTGCTTTTTACAGTTCCCATGAATATTAATTTTCATCCCCAAAGACACACTTTAGTCAACTGACATAAAAAGAAGGCTTTGCTAATTGAAAGAGAAGAAAAAGAAGTTAGTCTTTCAGGAATCAAATGTCGTCATTTCAACCTTTTACAAAAGGGGAAAGCTATTCTTTTCACATCAATATGAATACTTTAAAAAACTTTTCTTTTTAAAGAAAACATAACCTAACAACCAAAATGTCAAATATCTATTTTTTTTTTTTTTACTGTTTCTATATATCTCATGTAAAAATATAAAGTATTATTAACAGTGTCAAGTCACATTCCTGATAACTTCTGTTGACTATCCTCCCTATAATACTAAAAATACAAAAAAAGCCTATAGTTCAAATATTTTTTTCCAAGGGTTAATGCATAGCGTCAGCCTTGAAGGAAAATATTTAGTTATTCAAAAGTGTATATAGAATCACAATGGCAGCATTTATTCTGTATTATGAGACAGTGGCAAATCACACACAACACATCGCATATGCAATCTAGAAAATGACAAGATTTTATCTCATGTAAACTTCTATTTCATGCACATGCCCTTTGATTTGATATTAGTGTGAATAAAGATACTGATTTTACAATTAAAAGGTATATAGTCGGGAGGCTGAGGCGGGTGAATTATCTGAGGTCAAGAGTTTGAGACCAGCCTGACTAACATGGAGAAACCTTGTCTCTACTAAAGATACAAAATTAGCTGGGCATGGTGGCACATGCCTGTGATCCCAGCTACTCCGAAGGCTCAGGCAGGAGAATTGCTTGAACCTGGAAGGCAGAGGCTGTGGTGAGCTGATCTTGCCATTGCACTCCAGTCTGGGCAACAAGAGTGAAACTCCGTCTCAAAAAAAAAAACAAAAAGGTATACAGTTTGGACATGTTGAAAATGCAAGTCTATATTGTCTATATCCTTCTTAGACTGTGGTTCCCATAACTGCAAACTTTAAATTGATCTATTACTCTGGACCAGCACAAATCAGAAGATGACAATTACCTCCTTCATTTTGCTATTTGTTGACATTCTCCCCACTTTTTTTTTTTTTTTTTTTTTTTTTAAGTATCTACATCAAACTGACAATTCATGCTGACTTCACAGCTAAACAACCTGCTGGGGATATATCCCCCTTCAAACAATGCTGATTGTTTATATTTTATGATTGAATGAGAACCCAAGTACAGGAAACATGTTATCATTGCTAAATTCACCTGGTTAGATTCCATTTATAGTGTCAATCTATAAAGATATTTTAGTATCCTGACTTCAATAACTAATATATTTGCTATTTCTACTGGTATTACAGTAGAAATAAAACCAAGTTCAAGCTCTTACTCTATCACTTCCTAGCTGTATTAACTTGGGACACATAATTTAGCCTCCAAAGTTCACTTCTTTCATCTGTAAAACAAATGCTACATTTCAACAGAGAATTACTGTAAACCTTAAATGAAAAAATGGCGATAAAAGCACCTCATAATTAGTAATGCAAATAACTAAAACAATACAAACCTGCCCAACATTGTATTTGGCTGTGCAGTAAAAATAGATGGGTCTACAACAAATCTAGTGTTATCCACTATTAGCGTCACTCGTTCTGACGTTCTTATATTCCGAGCTCCTTCTTTTGCATTTTCATATACAAACACCATCTCCCCAGATGTCTTACAACTACCGTCTGAACTTGACTGACTACTATTTCTGCTGCTGTTCCCAGTACTGCTAATGGAACCATTTGGGGATGCTTTTTGAGGACGTGGACTGCTTGGACGAGAGGAGCTGTGATCTTTTTCTCGTTCTGAAATAAAGATGTTAAACAAAGTTATGCAAATTTTCTTTTAAAAATTCAAGATGTATATATATCTTTTTAAATTTTTGATTTAGAAAAGTTGTTTTAAGTCACAGCATTTCCACTTTTTAATTTCAAATAACATGTTAACAGAACACCATAAACATTCATTTAGTTCCTAGGAATAAAACCCAAAACATTAAAATGTTTTCTAAAATCTTTATTTGTAGACTTTTTAAAAAGATGTATAGCTGACTAATGCTAATGCAAACTAACATCAAAACTAAGGAAGCTTTTATTACTCCACTTAAAAACAGAAACCCAAGGAACCGAATATTCTCACAAGTCAAATAAATATGCTTTGAAAGTTATTACAGTAAAAGATTAATAAGAATACCAATTTAAACTGTCCTAATTACTAAAAGGGATAATACCACTCTGAGAACACAAAGTACAATCTTTAGAAGCTCACTGTTAATAAGGGCATTCTAAAACCAGCAATTTATCTCAAAAAAAGAAGGTGCCTCCACCCCGCCCCCCCAAAAATGAAAGAAATTCACTAAGGACAGTAAGAGTATTTATTTTTTTAATGATTTTTATGTCTACCAAATAAAGCAGCTTTAGTAGCTCATGATACATTGTTTTCTTCTCATTCTCATGTTTGCTGAATAAAGCACTGCTGCAAATTTTATGATCTATAATTATAGTCTGTAATTTTCACAGGTAGAAAATATTGTTAAAATTCAGAAAATTTTCTTATGATGTTCCAATAGTCTACAAAAGAGAACCAAAAACTAAGATTTTGTGATTTTTCATTTAGAGACTAGATCACTAAACTTTAAAGGTGACCTAAAAATGCACCTCCATCTCATCAGTTTCATCAGCTTTTGCCAAATTCCTCTATGACTCAGGCTACTCAGAACACTCTGTACAGCATTATTGATTATATAATTAGGTTTGACACATCTCCAGAGATACTCTGACACCTCCCTTTTATTGCCTGTTTCTACAATACTGGCAACATCCTAAAAGTAAAACTTGCTAAAGCAATATTAATAAAATAAATTATTATATCCTGCTATTCTACTCCCAGACACTGACTTTTGCATGTAACAAACTGTCAACTCTAATTTATACTTTTGTTGATGTCTAGCTTATAAGTACTAATCTGACTTCCAGGGTCAACTGAAACACTGACAACTTCTCTCATAATTAGACCCTAATATTAATGATTTTTATTTACAACAGATTATCAGAAACTACTGCTGCATATAGTAAGTCAAAAGTTTTAATTTGTCCCTTCTGCAGAGGAAAATAAAAATCAGCAAGCTCACATGCTAAGGCACCTCTTCTTCAGCTGTTGTTTTATAGTCATACCATGTGTTCACCTGGGGTAATAATGTTCATTTATAGTAATGAGTAGGAAGAAGGGGAAAGACCTGAGCTAGTTACTAAGAAAGTAAAACACATAACACTTTTTATATATTTTTATTATTAAATTTGGGATATTGTCAAAAATCAGAATAAATTACATGATGGTTTTTCTACCTTTCATATCCCTTGTCAGCATGATAATAATGAAATTTCTACCAATAATTTACTAAAAACTATTTTAAAAGAAACTATTGCTATCTATTTCATAAGCCAAATATTAACTTGAAAACTCTAAAAATCTATATATCACAGTTTCAAAGGCTTTTCAAATTATTTATAAGACTGTACCAGATGTTAAAAAATTCACCTTCACTTTGCATTTTAACAAACTGCTTTTTCACAGCAAGAACCAAGCTCAACTAAAACAGAAACAACTGAATAGAAGAAGCTAATTTTACTCTGCAGTGTTAGGCACAATTCAATGTAATTACTGTTTTAAAAAGGTAAATGCATGTTTTTAAGGACTGTCAGGAAGATTAGTTGGTTTTACATACCAACATGGTGCTGCCGTGTTGGAGAAGTCACATTTCTAATACAAGGAGTGAGTTGAGACTCTGTTCTTTCATGAGATGAATCTCGTGATCTGTCACTTGACCTTCGTCTATCTCTTGATCTTTCATGTCCTCCACTAGCACCATGTAGACTCATTTTGGTGTGATCAACTGCTCCTTTAGCAACACGCGAGGAAGTACTGATAAGTTAGAAAGAAAAATTAACCATAAAAGCAGAACATAAGATTGCAAAACATTTTAAAAGAAAAACCCAAGTAACATAAAGCTAGTACCTTGAAGTGCATTTAAAAATCAAATGCTACTTTTCAATTCTGAAACCTAATTTACCTCAAACTGGTAGACTTTAAAAATTCTGAAATAATGTGTCTTTGAAGATCACATAATTGAACTCAGTTTTTTATGAACAAGAAAATTAACACTTAGAAAGGTTAACTAACATATGAGTTAGTAGAAGTAGTAGTAATAATAGTATTAGATCACCCAGATATCTTAAATATTACTTAAATTTTCTTTTTATTTCCCTCATTGCAGGGAAAAAAGAGAAGGCAAGAGCTTCTAGAACTCTTAAAAAACTGAGGAATGGGGCAAAGAAATTGGTCTCCCTACCAAACAAAGTAAGTCTACATGCTAACTTCTATCAACCAACTTTGAGTTGAGTCGTTTCAAAACACTGTGGTATTTTTAAAAATTTCTCTGAAAAGCATTTCTCAGCCAGGTGCAGTGGGTCACACCTTTAATCCCAGCACTTTGGGAGCACAATGTAGATAATCACTGGAGGCCAAGAGTTTGAGACCAGCCTGGCCAACATGGCAAAACCCTGTCTCTACTAAAAATACGAAAATTGGCTGGGCACAGTGGCTCACACTCCTAACACTTTGGGAGACATGCAGATCACAAGGTCAGGAGTTCGAGACCAGCCTGACCAACATAGTGAAACCCTGTCTCTACTAAATATACAAACAAGCCCAGCGTGGTGGTGGGTGCCTGCAGTCCCAAATACTTGCGAGGCTGAGGCAAAAGAATCGCTTGAATCCAGGAGGCGGGGGCTGCAGTGAGCCGACATTATGCCGATGCACTCCAGCCTAGGCGATAGAGCGAGACTCCATCTTAAAAAAAAAAATTATCTCGGTGCAGTGGCACACACGGGTAATCCTAGCTACTCAGGAGGCTGGGGCACAAGAATTGTCTGAACCTGGAAGATGGAGATTGCAGCGAGCCAAGATTATGCCACTGCATCCCAGCCTGGGTGACAGAGAGACTGTGTCTTTAAAAAAAAAAAAGATGATGAAGAAAAGCATTTCTCTTATAAACCTAACAAACCTACCTACTCTTACCACATAAAGTCACAGAATTTTTTAAAACTTTAAAATATCTTATATATAATAAAGTTCACCAGAAGTGAATAACTCAGAATGTTGATTAAAATAGTCCAGTTTACAGAATATATTAACATAATTATGTATTAAGTTACACATACTATATGCACAATGCTATACTAAAAGCCAATAGAAAGAGAAGCTTCCTCAGGAGCTTGTTTTCTAAGTGTAGCAGTAATAGATGAACATGTAGAATTTTAAACAATTCAAGAGCTATCCCAACTTCCAAATATTAAGCTACTAAAGAGTTCCCAAATATATAACTATTAAATGGGTATTAAATAATAAGTGTTTTAGGATCTCAAAGAAAAAAGGCATTGCTAAAGAGTAGCCACTTGTGTATCACTAGTGTCCAGACTCTGACAAATAGATAAAATTTCAGTAATTAAAATGCACTGCAAATAACAAAACTGATAGTAATAAAAATAATAAAGTCAGACCTAAGGCAATTTGTAAATTTACTATGTTAGCATATACTATCGTTCATGGTTTAAAAATATTAAAGTGCTTTTTAGAAACAGAAGAAAAGTCATGGCTTTAGAGTGAAATTATCGTCTAGTAATTTAATGCTTGGCATTTTGAATGATACTCAATATTTTGGAACCTTAGGCTTCTCATTTGCAAAATGTAGGTTCTATTTATTCTCTAAGGTTAATAGGTAAATTAAATGAAGTACAATAAGTAAGCTGACTAGCAATATACCTGACACAACATAATTACTCATGAAATATTAATTTAGTTATGACAGATGAGGATATCAAAGTTCAAAACCGCAAGACTTTCTCAGGGTCATATAGTATTTAGTGGAAATGTTAATAACACTATAACCTAAGCCTTTTGATTCATTCCAGTGCCCCTTCCATATTATACTGCTCTCCTTTAGCAAAACCACGAGTTAAAATTTAATCTTCTTGGTGATTCAGAAAGCAGTTTTATATCTTTCAGTGTCTCAGGGTCATCTCTTTGATTATTAGCTTTAATACTTTTTGTTATTTTGGTGGTTTCTTTCATTATAAAAATCAGTCATCACCTTGCTATAATAGACTACAAGGACAGAATATAAAGCTAACTTTGTATGGAGCCTGAAAGTTAGTTCCAGAAAAATAAACCTACAGAGAAAAATTCTACTCCCACCTTCATTCTAGTGAAAAAATCAGAGGACAGCTGCATTGGTAGAACATAATCTTTTTTTCAAACAGAACAAATCAAAAGATCCTACTGCATTTATTTTTAAAAAAATCCTTTGAGTAGGAATACTGGCATATCTGGTTTGTTTTCTAAAGTTGGGGAAAAAAGGAATCTATACTAAATAGAACAAAGATCTTATATAGAAAATATAACTCTTCAAATTATTCTGGCTACCAAATTTTCATCATTTTCAACTATAATAAAGCACATTATCTAAATACGAGTCTAGTAATTTCATGGACAAGGTACAACCACAAGTATGAATAAGACAAATACAAGCTAAATGTTCAGTTTGAGTAAGGGCCAAGCAGACTGAGTAATTAAAAAAGCATTTTCACCAGACATATCTGTAGCTGAAAGATTAGATACTGCTAAAATACTGGCTTCATTTCTAAACCACTTAGATTTTAAATGAATTCAAAAGGTGTCATAATACACTTCCATCTTTTAATTCCCACGTAGACTGAACCCGGAATCAGATCTTCAAAATCAGATGTCATGGAAGACGAATTATGTCCTACTATATTTAATTCAATACTTTTAGATTAAGAAAGCACTCTAAAGGCAAAAACAGTTAATATGTACAAAATAAAATGAGGATGAGCAAGTTCAGAGGGAAAGCTCTGCTTCAGGCTGCATTGAAGAGCTTGAGATTCATGAACTAAGGGCATGAAGACCAGATTAGCCCTAATATATATTTCCAGCCAAGACAGAATAACAAGGACTGAGTTTATACCCTGTCTGAAACAACCCAAGAAACCAAACAGAATATATGAAACAACAGTCTCCAAGACATGGCACATCAGGCAATAAAGGAGAATCATCACTGAAAAATGGAAAGCAAATGAGCTATGTCCAACAATTATCCCAAATTACTATCTTGAGGGCATTTGCAGAGTAAACACAGAGAGGGGAAACACAAGCAGAACCCAATGGACTCTAAGTGAAACATGAATCTGAGACATTGGGATAAGAGGTGGCTAGAGTTCTCAAGGAAGAGTACCAGAGAGGAGAGAGCAACACAGAGAGAAAAATTCAGAAATTTGCAGGGTCCTCCTTGAGTACTGAGCTGGGTAACAGTCACACATGAAAAGCTGGGGAAAGAACCAACTCAAAGTGTCAGAGGAAATAGTGTCCAGCACTCATACAGGGCCAGAAATAGGTCCTGTTCCCACTGATTCAGACTGGAAAGCTTAATAACTTATAGGGCATTGGGAAGAGAATGAGAAGACTCTAAAATGGAAAATAATTAACTGGACTGAGCACTGCTCCTGCTCCCCTAACAAATTTTAATAGCAAGACCAAAAAGGACTGCAAAGCAAAGTTCTGTGGTCCTTATTCTAAGAATAAGAAATATCAAACACACAAATGAGGTAAAATTCACAATGTATGGCATCCAATCAAAAATTATCAGGCATGCAAGGAAGTGAGAACACATAACCCATGATGAAAACAACATCAAGTGAAATCAAACCTGAACTGATACATGTTAGAATTAGAAATAAAAACATTAAAAAGTCACTCTAACCACAGTCCTCCAAAAAGCAATGAAGAAACATAGAGGATAAAAAAGATGCAAATCAAACTTCCAGAGATAAAAATGATTACATGTGAGATGAAAAGTATACTAAATGGCCCTTTGAAATGACTATAGTTAACAATAATTTATTATATATTTTCAAATGGCTAGAAGAGAGAATTTTCAATGTTCTCAACATTTAAAAAAATGATAAATGTTTGAGGTGACAGATATGCTAATCACACTGATTTGCTCATTACATACTATATACATGCATTGAAATATCACTCAATACCTCTAAATATGTATAATTATTATATGTCAATGAAAAATAATTTTTAAAAAAGAAAAACACACTGAATGAATTAATGGGAGATTACACATTATAGAAGAAAAGATTAACAAATCTGAAGACAATTCAATAGGAAATATTCAAAATAAAAAAGACAGAGAAAACAGAAAAACAAACAGCATGAGTGAGCTGCAGGTCAATTTCAAGTAGCCTAATATGGGTACAAATGGAGTCCACGAAGGAAGTGGGAAGGAAAAAAAGGGAAGTAATATCTGAACTATCACCAAATTTGGCAAATATTACAAACCCACAGACTCAATACGCACAACAAATTCCACACACTTTAAACAAGAACAAACAAACCCTGTCAACCTAGGTTTGTCATAGCCAGTAAAAACATCTTTCAAAAATAAGAAGGATCTGCATTAATTGATTTGTTGAAAAAATAAGAAAACAGATATATTCAGAGAAAAAAAAGATAAATGAATTCATCATCAGAAGACTTGCATTACGAGAAAAGTTAAAAAGAAGTCCTTCAGGCAGAAAAAAAGAAGCTAATGCCAGATGAAAACATGAATCTACACAAAGGAATGAAGACAACTAGAAAAAATAATTGCATGGAAGAATGTAATTTTTTTCAATTGTTTAAATCTCTATGAAAGATTAAGCAATAATGAAAATATAATATAGGGTTTATAACATATACATATAACTAGAGCAGCACAAAGTCTGGGCAAAAGAAATGGAAGTAAACTTTTGTAAGGTTTTTACACCACACAAGAAACAGTATAACATCACTTAAAG